TCTTGCATCTTGCCTCTGAGCCGAGCAGAGAGCGGAAAGCTACGCTTGGAACAACGGCACCGCCGGGCGTCTCGTACCTGCACTGCTCGTGCCATACCTTGCTGACAATCAGTCGCCTCGGTCCGCTGGCTGGACGCAGGACGCGTGACACGGCCGCCAAGTCGAGAGCGGCGCGTGGGAAGGGAACGTCCGCCTCGAAAGCAAGAGATTGTCATCAATGACCCTTCGGGAGCAGGCGACCTTTTTCTCAGACAGACCCCAGCTTGGGGTGGCGAATCGAATCGAATCTGCGCGTGCGGCAAACGTTTGGAGCGCAGCCCAGCATGGCTTGCACATCGCGACACCTCGCCACTCGTTGGCCCCCCGTTGGTGGCGAAGCATGGCGGACTGTATGCGGGACATTTGCCGCGTCTTGGCTGCATCTCCACGCGAAAGGATTCACATTCGCCACAATGAAAGAGAATCTTCTTGAAAAGCAGTCCGCGTCGATGGCTTCGGACGGCCCGCACCCTGTTCTCATCTTTGGTCTATTCTTCCACACCCGGCTTTTCCCCTTCTGGGCATCGACTTCCCCGAGATCAGCGTTTTCCTTTTCTCTCTAACTCGCCGTATGAAGCGCGCTGCTGCCGTGTCAGCTGGCCTGAAGACAGAGAGCGATTCTAGTCAATGCATTACGACCTCATTCTCGCCTCCTGACACCTTTCCAGGCTGCGCAACCACGGCCAACAAGGAGCGAATGAAGGAAATGCTTCGTCATGCACGACGCTCCACACCGTTCGTTCCGACTTTATTTTTACATTTCTTGATTTTATTCATAACTCTCTCAGACGGTGTGCTGGGGAATAGCGTCTACAAACGAGAGGTGGCAAACTACGAAGCGACGCTCAATAGGCTGTTAGCGCATCCCAATGGTGTTACTCATCCACACCCCTTACCACTGGGAGAGGAGCCGGACACTCGCGATCCGTGGATAGGCAGATATCGACACTACTGGCAACAAGATGGGCCTCATTTGAGAGAGGCAGTGAGTCACTGTCGCGCAACAGTCTGCCCTAATGTTGCCAAAGTCAGAGTGAGTTGTCGCTTGAAAGAATGTCTGGCGGGGGCAGCTGCGCTGAGTCATGACGTGGACGTGCTTCTTATTCGGACAGCCCCGTGGAACCTTCGTTACATCACCACACTACCGCTGGAAAGACCAGCACGGCAAGGTGCAGCAAAGCGCTTTTCTTCGAGCTGTTCTGATGGACAATGACACCAAAGTGATCATGCCTCCTCGAGAGCACGCTGATGTGAACTTTCCGTACAATTGGCGCCTTCAGCTCGCCCCTGGTCGGACGTATCAGACAATGGCGGGAAAGGTCTACAAAGGCCCGCCCGAGGGTCATCCGCTGCGCACAAGTCCACCCAGTCATGAGAGTTGGGAGCCCAGACGAATCGAGCACAAATTCAAGCCTGCCAAATCGAATCTTTTGCCTTCAATCAGAAAGGGACCCCGTCATAATGGCTGGAGCTCTTTGCAAAGTCATGGCGTGGCTGATGGTGATGAACCATCGAATGGGCTCGCA